GATGATGATGCGTCAAATTTTTGTCGTAAACTCAGGAGCGACAGTACAGAAAGTTTTACCGCTCTCAGATTTGTCGGTTTGGAAGGTTGGCACAAGTGTGGAAGGGAGGCAAATAGGACGAACCAAGTTATTTTGCGATCAACCTCGGTACAAAATGGGTGTGAGAAACAGTGAAGGTAAGCAGAGGTTCAAAAACTGCAAATGTCATGTACTTTCATCCGTGGCTGACGCAAACCATACAATATTTATAAGTCAGGCGCACAGAGGAGAGAAGACGGTTTTACACCTCCCCCTTGTGGGACAATATATAGTCGCTCTCCCATTTTGCCGTCTGTCATACAAAGGGCACTTTTTGGGAAGTTTGCTAACATCTCACATACCGATTTGTGAAATACACTCATTCGCGACCTAATTTGGTTTTCCGAGAGACTGATGTTCTCAGGCAACTGAATGTGCTGCACCAGGCCGCCGCATATTTCAGTCGCTACGATATTCGAGATATCGCGATACTTATATATTTGTAATGCACTACTCATAGGGTTGCTGAAAATCCTCACGCTTTATACCTGTCTGTGAAAGGAAGGTCTTCGCTGCGGAGTTATTTATTAGTAAATGCCAACTGAACAGTTACAGACTATTGGACAGGGAAGCAAAACTCTCGTTTGCACCTTATTTACAAAAACTGAACATCCATCTTCTCCTGAACGCGTCTTTTTGAACTTTCCTGGATATTCACTGACACAAACCATTCATTGCTCAAATCCAAGAAAATGTCACAAAGCTACTCCACAAATTCCGCAACAGATCTCCCTTTCAATAGACGCAGAGCGAATTTACATACTACTCGCATTCCTCCCCATCAGCAGTATCACCGTCACACTTGCTGTGTCAGCGAGGCACCTTCGTACGCCGTTCTCCGTAAGTGCAGACAATTTTGCTCAAGGCGTCGGGCCTACCACTCACATCGCTTAGCATGTTCGTCTGTTTAGGCGTGAAAATTCGAATGCGCCCAACATGTACTGTTGGAGTAATTTCAAACACTTTCGTCTCGCTTGACAGATGAGCGGAGCTCAAATCCCGGCATGATAATGGATATACACCGCTGACGAGCTCAAATAAAAGCAAAACTCGAGTCCATTGCTTCTCCCCTTTGGTGTGGACTCACCAGAATGATTACGTCAGGACACGAGGACGACGGTTCAACGACCCACTAAATTTTGGGCAGATTTTTCTAAAAGTGAAATATCTACAATTGAGAATTCGTCACTCGAGAAGTAAGAGATCACGTGACCACATGAGTGGCGTTATTTAGTGTCAAGCGGTGCAGGTCAGATATTCAAAACGGCTCATGTCCATTCAGACCTCCGATAGACTGGAAGAGGACTGGCGATTAGGTCGGTTTTACTGAACTGTCGGCATTTTGTCCAAAAAAGAGGATGCCGCCATTCTAGCTGGCGTGTTCACTGCGCTGCCTTGCTGGTCAGTTTTGTCTGGGTGATACCTACAGCCCCTTGTGTTTTCCTGACTAATCATCCGTCGCTGTATGAACAAGCCGCAATGAAGACCCAGTGATATCGTACATGTTGCTGCAAAGACATTCTGCAAAGACATTTACTGTACTCGATGGCAACTACTCCGATCCACTCAGTTTGGCGCTACCGGGTAGAATACTCGAGTCGAAGTCACCGATAGGTTCTTTTCATTGGTTACTTGGTTCAAAGCAGATTTGATTTCTCGTACAAGTTTCCGTTAAAGCTCACTCATACTTTGGGTTTCATGTTATCGTGAAGGTTATCGCTTTGCTTTCAACTTTGTACTTTCCCTTTGTACTCTCTCGGTTTTGGAACGGTAGGAAGATGGATTTTGATGAACGTGATTCCTTTACTATGGCTCGAAAATCAGTTCATCTTGTTCTGCTGAGGAGAAAGCAGCATGCAGTAATTTGGTGCGCGCAAACCCATGAGACACCCCTCTCAAATTAGAGGTCTGGAGCATAGAATAAGTCAGATACGTACCGAATACACTTTACCGTATGCCCGTATGGCCATCACAAAACACTCTGACCTGACGGTATCCCATGATGGTGATTAGATGTCACGCCACTGTTGCGGACACAATATCTTTCGATGATTGAAACATAGAATCAGATTACCATCGAACAATGAATTTCAAATTTCAAGGTCATGTGTGTCTGGCTGTCGAGCGTGAATGATGTTCACTGGTGTCATTTGCTGATAGGACCGGCAGACCGATAGTTTGGTGCAATAGGGTGACCCATTGACCTAAGATATGGACGTAAGACGCAAACGAGCGTTAGCCAGGATGGTTGTATCGAAGGTGACAGTTGCTCCCCTTCTTGCTAATCCGTCCGAATACTGCAGAAAGATCAAACGGAATCAGGACAGCAGCAATACGTAAGAACCTAAACAGAATGTCGCGGATAGGTGCATTGTTCGAAGATGTGTAAAACAGTTTAGGAATTATATCAGTGTTTCATTCGTCCAAGGTACAAGAACATGAAGAAAGTTCAGCTTTGAAGACAGTCTAGTTGCGAATTCGATAGGTCACCTCACCGGAAATTACAATGGCAAGAAGTGCTATTCAATGAGGCAAACAAATCGAGTCCAAACGGTTGCTGTGACCTCAGAAAAGAAAAAGTCTCCTTAGGATTCGCAGCTTTTATCAGGGAAGGGTAAACGATAGGTTCTTACTTGACGACATTGAATGACCACAACTTTGTAATTTATCGTGTCTCGTCCATACACACCGACCACCTCACGAGATCGTGTCTCATGTACCACAATACTCATTTGCCCGACTGGATAATAGTACAAATTGGAGTTGTTGGAAAGAGCCTCATTGTTTAAATGATCAAGTAAACAGTACTTGACAGTTGCGGAGCAGGCGAACACAATACCTATGCGCCCCGATAGGTGCTACCCTGATCGTTGTGTCGGTCCCACGAAGTGCACCGATCAGGAAACAGGCAAAAGAAGTAGGAGTCTTTGTAAGGTCGGAATCACTGCAAAGTATGAAGTTAGATGCCACCGATGAGTAAGTAGCGCACTATCTTGGCTCAGACCATCAATTGTGCGAGCGTTTATCAATCAACCCTCTTTCGTTCCATCACTGATTGCCGCACTTCATCGATTCTCGAAGGAATGTCCTTCCATTCTCATGGCGCCACTGCCACTTTAAAAGTGGTGAATGCCAACCTCTGGCGTCACTGTTATTTCATGAAGTGGGCCATGAGGATTTGCTTATTCGACTGATCATTTCTACACCGAAGTCAGCTCCGCCTTTCTCGCTGAAGAACGTAATGAATTCGTCATAGTGAATGGCCAGCACACTCTCTGTGTATGCTTTCTGGGGTGACATTTTCTAGCAACTTTTAAGCACCAGAAGCTGCGTTGGTTGGGACATGTGCTGCGTAAGCCGAACCATCGTTTGCCGAAGAGAGTGCTGTTTTCCATGCCCAATTCAGA